AATCCTCCCGCAGCTCTCAGTCTGTGGACCGCAGTCCTCCTAACCTTTCCTATTCTTGTTGCATTTGCTGGTCTTGATTTGTTAAAAATTGAAGTTCCTCCTCTCGCCTGACAGAGATGACGTCATCTGTTCGGCCATTAACTTCACCTCCGAACGCATGTGCCCAGTCTTTCTGGTCTCCAACGTTACGGGCTCCAACCTGGACTTGCTAACCTCCTTCCTCAACCTCCTTTCGCCTCGTTCGCCTTCTCGTCTGGAGGATCCGGCTGAATTCCAGATCGACGAGCTCTTCACTGTGCCCGGCGTGGGTTCTGTCGTCTCAGGCACCTGCCTGGGTGGTATCATCCGAGTGAATGACGTCCTTCTCCTGGGCCCAGATACCTCGGGGCAGTTCGTACCAGTGCCGATAAAGAGCATCCAACGGAAGAGACTAGCCGTGAATGAGGTCCACGGCGGCCAGGCTGCGTCATTCGCACTGAAGAGGCCTAAGGGCAGCCAACTGCGTCGCGTAAGTGCTCTCTCTTGTTATCTTTATTACTGTCTAAAAAAGTGGGGGAGGGGGGTTCGGTAAGCGATGTTACTAATTATTCTGCTGACATTCTTCCCTATGTTTAAATATTTTGATCCAGATCCTTCTGCAGATGGTCTGCCCTATGTATAATCGACTCACAAAACCTATGAGCTCAGTTTGTAGTCACTTTCACCGCCCCCCCCACCCACAAGTTAACTATCGCAGCAAACTATTGGCTTTAAAGAATCAACACTCTCTTTGCCTGTAGTGCTTCATGCCATCTTAGTGTGCCTGCTTCGTGTTCCTTGCCTCCTTCGACTCTGTATCTAGTAGTGACAGTTCCCCCGTCGATTTCGACGATGGGCATCACGAGCTTCAACAAGCCACAGCAAACGCTGAAGCAAGCCGAGCAAACACTGAGGCAAGCAACACGAAGGCTACAGCAAGGAGAAGCAACGCAGCGAGCTACCGCGAACGAAACAGGAGTTAAAGCAGTAGTAACGCGTACGTCAATCACCAAAGATAACAAATATCAACGTGGTACGGTACTATTAAACAAATAGTAAAGGACAAACGAAGTGCAAACCTCAACAATAGATGCACGCAGTTAAAAACAAAGAGAGTCGGCCAAACCGCCTGACTCTAGACAAGGAAACGACGCGCGTTCAACACCGCCACGCAGGGCGAAATCAGTCTTGAGAAAGCGCGTGTGTCTGAGAAGGGGCGACCACTGCTTTTATATGACTTCAGAAGTCAATTCAT